TTAAAGTAGCTTTATCAAACAATTGGGTAAAACGGTCTGAAGATGGTATTATTATATTTGAAAAAGAAAACATTTCTCCAAAAGTATTTGAAGTTCTTTTAACGTAAGAATAATTTATTTTGTTAATTAATTAACTAAATTCATTATTATATAATAATCATTTTATTTTAAATAACTAAACAATATATACATATCAATACTCTAAAATTTTTTATTTTATTTTTATTTTGTTCTGTTCGTTCATTTATTTATTTTTAAAAGATACATTTACAATGGAATTGTCAATATTGATAATTTGAATTCATTTGAAATACTTGAACTTCTTGAAGCATGTGATGAACTAGATTTTAATGAACTAATTGACAATTTGCAAAATCATTTATTCAAAGATGAAAAAGAATGGATTCAACATAATTTAGTACATCTTAATCAAATATCATCTAAACACCAATCATTCCGTTTACTTCAAGAATATTGTAAGGAAGTGTTTCACAATAATCCGGTATTGTTTTTAAAATCTGATGACATTTCTTTATTTGAAAAATCAATGCTTATCTCTATATTGAGTAGAGATGATTTAGAAGTAGAGGAAATAGATACTTGGGAATACATTATTCAATGGGGAGTGGGACAATTTGAAAATTTGGATGAAAAAAATATTTCAGAATGGAATAAAGATGACATCACTGCATTCAAAACTTTATTGGATGATATTGTTCCAATTATTAGATTTTATGGGATACCATCATCTGATTTTCATGAAAAAATCAAACCTTATAAAGCAATAATTGATAAGAAAATATATGAAGAACTTCTTCAATATCATATTACTAATAAATGGCAACCAAGATTAATTCTTCAAAAATATCCAAGAACAAAAGGAAAATTATTAAATTTAGAAATAAAGATTCTAATTTCTAGTTGGATTGATGAAACGTACGACATATATGAACCACGTTATGAATTTAAGTTGGTTCAATGTGGAAGTCAAGATGGATGTACTAGATCAGTGTTTGAGGATAAATGTTATAATATTGAACAAACTATAGTCATCATGAAAATTAAAGAAACAGGCGAGCTGGTTGGGGGCTATAATCCAGTTTGTTGGAATATAAAAGAAAAAGCTCCAAATGATGAATATTGGATTAAAACTGATGAAAGTTTTATTTTTAAGATTGATGAAAAGCAAGCAGCCTTTTCAATCTTGAGTAAAGTCAAAGATCCTGAATTTGCAATATATCATGATCGACAAAATTTTAATTTCATCGTAGATGATATGGAATTTTGTGGATTTTCTATAAATTTTGGTGATTTGGGATTATGTAACAGTATCGATAATAATCCTTATTGTCGTTACTTATATTATGGTGATTCTGATGATAATGCTTATAAATATAATTTGAATCTTACAAATCAGATCAACAGCATACATTTTTTAGAAGAGTTTGAAATCTATAAATTAGTCAAGAAAACTAACGATTATTAAATTAGGTAAATTTTCTAAATTTCCTTTAAGAAATTAATTATTATATTTGTTTTTTTTTTTTTTGCAGATTAAATAAATCGGGTCTTTGATTTAAAGAAAAATTTATTATTTATTTTGTATAACCAGTGACATGAATTACATCTTGAGAAAAATTCTTTGAAAAAAAAAATTTTTAAATTTTTTGAATCTAATGAATATAAAAAATATTTGTCATATATTTCTAATTTTCGTCAATTAAAGCAATAAAAATTTGATTACAACTTGAGGATCTATAAAAAATTGGAATTAACAGGTTGAGAAATATCAATGAGTTTTTGTAGAACAATATTTGGATGTTCTGTTGTTGTAATCGAATTCCATTTGTCATGTGTTTTTCTAATAGAATTTAATTTATCAAGCTGTTCTTTAGAATTCATATTACAAATATCACAGTTTTTTAATTTAATTAAATAATCATCATATGAAACTTGTGAATTTCTTGACATTATCTGGATCAGCATCTATACACTTGTATGATAATTCAATGTAAAATTCAAAAGCGTTGTTAGGGAAGCCTGGTCTTATTCCTTCACCTTCATAAAATATTAACAAAAGTTGTAATCAATATGTTTCACTTCTCTGGACTTCAAGAGCTACAGTGTGTGTCACAATAAATCATCAACTCCAACTATACTGTAAAGTCTGGAAAGATAGCACCCCCTACTTTAAAACAACTGAGCATCAATATAAAAAAAATGATACACATATGTAAAAAGGGGATGCTATCTTCCCAGACTTTATGGTAATATGGCCAAATTTTTTATTGCAGATCATACTAAAATAGAACATTAAATTTATTAAAATCACTTTAATATTTCCAAGTCTGAGAGTATTGAATTAGGGATGCTGCGATGTGATTTATATTTTTTGACAGCATATTCAGCTTGTTTGCAATTTAGACTATACTTGCCACCCATACTAAGGGATATGGGACAATCCCCAATCCCATTGGGTATGGTAGGTGGGGCTTTGAGGTTAGTAAAATCCCCAACCCAATCCCCATCCCATATCCCATATCCCATATCCCACCCCACACCCCACACCCCATATCCCATATCCCATCTCGAATTAACCAATCATATTTTTGTCATACAATTAAATAATAATTCAAATTGGAAATTTCAGTTGAAGGACTTGATGAAACATTTAACCGAATTGCTTTATCAATTACCAATGGAAATGATCTTTTTGGACAAGATGATAATCTTGAAGATGTTAGTCATCTTGATGATAATTGTGATGAAGAGGTTATAAATTTGGATGGTGTTAATGATAGCCATTTAATTATTACTGAAAGCATTGATTTGAATTCAAGTTTATTGTCTAATAATAATATTTTATCAAATGAAATTTATGAAGAAAATGATATTGATCATGGAGATACAAATTTTGACATTGATGAATTGTTAGATAATCATAATTTGGAACAATGATTGTTTTCCATTTGTAATTACAGAATTATTTCTCTTTTAATTGTTTTATGATATGTTTAATAATTTTTTGTGATGGAGCGAGATGGGATGAGGTTATAGTAATTCACTGTAATTCCATAGTTTTTCATAGTCGTCGTAATTTCCTTAACTTTAATAGTTGCCAAGGTTATTTTCGTAGTAGGTTACATATTAATATATAGTTCATTCATATAAAGGATATTAAGAATCTGTGATCATTGCCGTAATCAAGTTTCCTCGAAAAACAATTATGGGCAACTATAGATGGGTTGGAGTATGGACAAGTATATCATCAATTTCAAACCTGTCTCCCTCATGAAATTAATGGTATTTATTAGTAAATATAAATAAAACATGTACACCATTAGTTAATGTTTTCATACTTGTAAAAAAATTTTGGCTTTCTTTTGATATAATTTTTTAAAGTAGCGTTTCTAAAGCTTCAAAAAAATACCTTGTTGAAAATTCAACGTGGACTGGTACGAATCTGCAAAGTTCTATTTAATATTAATGCGTAGTGCTCGCGGATTCTGTGTATTAAAACATTATAAACTTCTTGGAATATTAATAAAAATAATGAATATAAAATAAAATTTTGTTTTTCGAATTGCAACGTTGTTGGAGAAATATTGAAAATGAATGATTTAACAGTTTAGGATGGTCAACATCCAACGTAGTTGGATATGAGTTCTTTATTATCAAAGTTTCCTTCACCATCCCATGTATTTTCCTTTTTGCATTGGATGGTAATTAAAAACCCCCTGCCTCAACAATTTAATCAATACGAAGCAGAATGCACTCCAAAATGTCATGATTATGAACGCACGTGTTTTTTTTTTCAGTAAACATTTCTTTACCCAAATTCCCCCAAAATGTAGATTTCCATCTAATATTAACATGTTCACATCATTTTTAATAATATCAAATATTCATATGCCTGTATATAAAAGATTTTTGTTAAAGGTTGTATTAAAAATATGGGTCCAATATTATATGTATTAACAAACATATGAGAGGCCACATTTATTTTCATTATTTTGCCATCATTTCAAATAGTAAAATTCAACCCTCATGAAACGATCTATATGCTTCGAACTAAAGACACACGTTATTGAGTTATCATTAAATAAAAATATGAAGAACTTTTTTTATATTAACTAAGAAAAACCTTAATTATTACTAAAAAATTAAAAATTAAAAAAGGGTTCCATATTTTTATTTAATGATAATTCAATAACGTGTGTCTTTGGTTTGAAGCTTATAAATTGTTTCCTTCGAAAGTTATAAGGGTTTGAATATTACGTGTTTTTACTATAGTATAGATTATCTAAAAACATCAAAAAAGGCTTTTTTACTAATAAACTTTTCGTTTTTGCAATCTTTATGATGCTATTAACATGAAGTTACCTATAATTTATATGTAATTAATTGCAATATTCTTTATAATCCAGTTTTGCTTTGAGATAAAGAAAATAATATATAAAAACAAATATTAAAAAAAAAGGAGACAAAATCCTGCTTATCATATTCTATATATTAGTTACAATATTCTTTATGATCCGAGGATTCTATCAGGGCTAGCCGCATAACCTAAATAAGCATTTGGCTAAACTGACCGACTAAACTATTTAGTCATCATATTAATATTAATATAAAGTCAAAAAATTATTACCAAATTAGGATTTAACCCCTTTGCGCAGCCAGCCCTTTTACCTGGTTATCATTCACTCACTATCATAATTGTTTTAATTTATCTTTCATTTGTAAAATTTTCTTATTTATTGGCAAACAAAAGTAAAATGAATACAATTGTCATTATAAATAACATGTGATATCTAAATATAGTTGAATCCCAATGGAAACGCAGATTTGGGGCGTGACCGATTCATTCATAAACCAGGCGAATTACCGATCACATAGCCACACGTTTTGATTTTGATCATATTAATGTCCTCATTTTACATAGTACTTCAATATGTAGAGTAATCATGGTATTTGAGATAATCACCTTCGATTCCTTTTTACCAAAACATTAGTATGTAAAAATGATTGGTAAAAACCTCATTGTGCCGATTTTCTCGGAAATTATATCCAAAACTTTATGAGAATCAACATTGCTAGGTAAATTCATAATCTTAGCTAATTTCGCCATTATATTGGTAAATTTTTCACCTGTGATATTTTAATTAATACATCTTTGATATTGTACATACTCACACATGTATTGTTCAGATATATAAATTAATATTAATTTCAATAAATTTTTTTTGTGGTGTAATTACACCTTGAAATTTTGTTATCATCATTCTACACTTTCGATTTTGCTACGATATCAATGATCTCTTTGTAAATAAATAAAAAATTATCTCATGAAATTATTTGGTATTGAGCGCGATAATTTTGGTAATTTATTTTGTGGAGAATTCATATATTATATAGTAGAAAGAGAGCTCTTCATAATAATAATAATAATAATAATAATAATAATAATAATAAAACAAGGAGTGTGAAAATAAAAAAAGAAATCGAATAAATATATGCGAATAAAATTCAAAATTCGATTATCATATTTCACGCGGAAAAACGGTCAATTATTATCAACTATTTTTTTCTAATACGGCTATTGGAAGTTTCATATTAATTAATCACTAAATTGTATTTATTTCATAGTTTCAATAA